GGCAGGGGGCAGGGGGCAGGGCAGGGCATCTTCAGGAATTCAGGGTGTGGGTTGAGGGTTTGGGGTTTGGGGTTTGGGGTTTCGGGTTTAGGGTTTGGGGTTTAGGGTTTGGGGTTTGGGGTTTAGGGTTTACGGCTTAGGGTTCAGGGTTTAGGGCTTTAAGGGTTTGGGGTTTAGCGGTTTCGGGACTTAGACTCTAGGCTATCATAGTAGGGATCTATATCATCTATATAGTAAATAAAAGGGCTCTTGTCTAGGGACTTATAATTGAAGCTACCGTAGAAGGGATCTATACAATCTATATAGTAAATAGCAGGGTTTATGGTGTAGGAAAATAGAATTTAAGCTAGCATAGGAGGGATCTGCAAAGTGAATGATGGAGTTTTTTGTGTAGAGATTCATAATTTAAGTTATCATGGTACGGATCTATATAGTAAACAATAGGGTTTCTTGTCAAGTAACTTGTCATTTAAGTTACCATAGTAGGGATCTAAAGTATATAATTGGGCTTCCTTGTAATTCAAGTTACCATAGAAGGGATCTACAGTAAATAATGGGGTGTCCTGATTGGATTATAGTTATCATCGTCGGCATCTAGAGTAAGCACTAGGGTTTCCTGATTATGGCGTCTAAAATTAAGTTCCTGAACAAGAACGCAGGATCCGAGTCGGTGTGTAGGTAGCCAGCAGCCGAGCCTTGCAGCAAAGTGTGGTTGCCAACTACCCCTTTAAAGTGACCCTTAAAGGAACCCTATAATTACGTTACAACCCTAAACCCTACCGGAAAACCAAACAATAAACTCCCAAACCCTAAACCCAAACCCTAAAGCCTAAATACCCTCTAAGCAGTCCGTGAATTTGCCTTGAGCTGATCGGCCCGCAGGCCGCTGTCCATGGTCAAATAGGTCAGTCGATGTGGGTCCTCGTGGCTAAGGGGGTTTAGGGTGTAGGGTCCGGCGGAGGGCTTTTTTTTCGGGTTGCGCGTGTTACTTGTTTTCAGAGGGGAGAGCCTCAAGCCTGCAACTTCCGAAAGCTACAGAGCTTAGATGCAGGCTCTGCAGCACTTCAAACAGGTCCTGGCGTGCGGTGAGCTGCTCAGCCAGACCGAAGTGGACGCTGGCATAGAAGTGGCTCTCGAAATGCATGTCTGCTGCACTTTGAAGAGCCCCCTTGGTGGAGTGGAGTACTCCCTCCGCCATCTGGCGGCGTTCGTTATAAAGGATGCGCAGGATGGCATCCTCTGCATCCAAGGCATCGTCGCATGTTGCCTCTCCGGTGACCATGTCGTGCATGTTGTGAATCTCCCGTTCCCAGCGGTAGATGCAGTCATCCACACACTCCGCATACTGGCGCAGAACTGCCTCCAGCACCTCTGGGTGATTAGTGAGAACCTAACAAGGATGACGTTTTGTTGGCAGTTGGAGTTCTTGCACCCCAAACTCCAAACCAGGAGAACTCCAGTACTCGGCAAAGGAGACACAAAGACCCAAAAAACTTGTACTTTGCGGCCTGAAGCCATCAACTGTGGTCTGACAGATCAGAACATCCTGCCCTAGTAGCCTCAGTCTTGTGGATCGCACCCGTGATGACCAAGAATGACCAAGAACTGTTGCTTGAAGCCCTCAAACCCTAGAGACTTTTAGAGTTCAAGGTTAGGATTCAGGGCCGAAACCTCCCCAAAACCCTAAACCCTCAACCCTAAACCCTAAACCCTAAACCGCATGCCCTCAAGCCCTAAAGCCCCAAGCAGAACCTGCGGCTGATCGGTCTCCACATGGTCCAAGGTCTGATGGATCAAACAAGCCAGTTCTCGATATTTCTTCGACCTGCCATGTTTAGGGTTTAGGGTTTAGGGGACCTGCCATGGAGCCACGGCTTAGGGTTTCTAGGATTTATAGGGCTTTATAGGGGTTTAGAGGGTTTATAGAGAGTTTAATGCTTAGGGCTTATAGGGCTATAGCGTTTAGGGTTTCGGGTTTAGGGCGAGATTTTCGAGAAACAATTCGTTCCCAGCTTCCGCCAGCCCCCGCCGAGGCCCGAAAAAAGGTCTTGGCGCAAGGCCTTCCCTCGGATTCCCTGCCCCAGACCCTATAAACCCTAAAGGCAAAACCCTAAACCCTAAACCCTACACCCTAAACCCTAAACCCTAAACCCTATAAACCTTAAAGCCTAAACCCTAAACCCTATAAACCTTAAAGCCAAAACCGTGGCACGGCGAGCCTCTCCTGGGACGCCCTTGGCGCGCCCATGACGGAGTCGTTCTGTGCCTCAGCCCGAAATCGAAATTCCATCTCAGCGATGGGGGTCGGTAATATAATGACCTTAAGGTTTAGGGTTTAGGGTTTAGGGTTAACAGTTTGAACAGGGCTCTGGGTGCTTAAAATCGGGAACCCCCAAAATTAGCATTGGTAATTATTTAGGCCCCCGCATTAGGTCACAAGCTTTCCGGAAGACCCTTCCATGCACAGAGGGCCCATCCAGCGGCAAAACCTCGCCTCAACCCGAAACCCTAAATTGCAAAGCCTGCATCTTAAATTAACCCAACCCTAAAATCTAAACCGTAAAATCTAAACTCTAACATCTAAACCCTAACATCTAAACCCTGAACCCTAAAATCTCAACCCTAAACCCCGGCCCCACTCGCCCGAAGACCGGGAGTAGCCCTCTGGCAGGATGCCAACTTCTGAAGGAGACGTCGCGCGCCCTCCAGAACTTTGCGAGGCAGTGCCGATGGCCTGCTCATGCCATGAGGGAAGAGGGGTTTAGGGTTTAGGGTTTAGGGTTTAGGGTTTAGGAGGAGGAGGAGGAGGAGGCGGAGGGGAGGAGGGGAGGAGGCGAAGACGAGAGACAGACGAGACACATAGTGAGAATTGAAATCGATCTTGCAGTGGCAATAGGCGTGAAACGTGCAGAAAGTTAGATTTCTAGAAGTGCGTGAATTCCGTTGGAGCGAGGCGGTGTGGAGATCATCGATACATAACTACATTGAAATGGAAACAAGGTAGTGAAAAATGGAATGAAACGAAATGACCTGAAACGAGACAGCATGAAAACGAGAGAAAGTGAAACTGAGTTGCAGCGAAAAAGCATCAACTTCATCCTCCACGGAACCGCAACAGATTCCCATCCCAAACCCTAAACCCTAAACCCTTTACTAAACCCTAAACCCAAAACCCTAAACCCTAAACCCAAAACCCGAAACCCTATACCCTAAACCCTAAACCCTAGCTCAAACCCCCCGAAGCCCGGCCTTGCGATGCGATCTACACGCTCCATCAGGAGCTCTGGACCACGCTGATCTTCACTGGTGATCCTCAGTCTCCAGCGTTTACCACGTTTAGGGTTTAGGGTTTAGGGTTTAGGGTTTAGGGTTTAGGGTTTAGGGTTTATGGTTTAGGGTGATATGGTAAAACGGCGATTTGGAGTCCCTAAGCCCTAAACCCCCTTTTGGGGTTGTGATCCTCGGAATTTGGACATGCCTCAAGCTTGGGGCGATAAAGCTTAGGGCTTACTCAAAGGATCCTGGGACTTAGTAACTAGGGTTATAACCAAGGTAACTATACTTATAACTACTTATAACCCCAGTTTAAGGTACTTGTAACCCTACATACTAAGTCCCATGATCCTCCAAGTAGGGTTTAGGGGTCAAGGCTAAGGACTACTCGTCTTAGCCATGGGTCTGCTTGCTCTTAGCAGTAGATGGACAAACCAACTTCCCCCAAGACCCTAGCCCAGCCGAAGTGATGAAGTTCACTCGCAGCCCTGAACCCTAAACTCCCCAACCCCTAAACCCTAAACCCCCCTATAAACCCTAAACCCTACAAAAACCCTTTAAGCATGCTGCAGCTAAAGCCTCTCTTTCGCCGCCTTGAACACCTTCTGCTTCTCCTGCGACGCAACTTTCAGTCCTACCGGCTACTCAAACACTACACCCTAAACCCTGCCGGTAGTACATACCGAAGGGTCCTTAGAGACCTCATGGTTTAGCCGCCCCAAGCTACCTCTGAGCCTCTGGGACTCAGGGCCAGGAGCTCAGGGCCCAGACTTTCAGCTGCTTGGATCCTCACGTCACTGCTCTTGGGCCAAGGAAGACACGTTCGAAGCTTTCCCGTGCCCTACTTAAAGGATCATGGGACTTAGTAACTAGGGTTATAAATAAGGTAACTATACTTAATTTATAACCCCAATTAAGGTACTTATAACCCCACTTACTAAGTCCCATGATCCTCCAAGCAAGTATTACACCGCAAGCCGAGGTTCCTCTTGTACCTGACTGGACACCAGATATTTGGTGGCCTCCCCGAAGCACGGCAGCGACGCTTGAGTCTAAGTGGGCTCAGGAAGGCAGTGGGCGAACCCTCAAAGAGACCTTCGGTGGTCTTCGCGGCTTAATCTCCGCTAGTTCCCAAAAGATGTTAGACCCAAGTGCTAGCTAAGCATGGGAATTCAAACCTCAGGGAGACGTAGTTGAAAGGTGGCACAGACGAGGTGAGGTCCTGTCCGGCCAGGGAGAGATGCGATGAGTCCAGGCTCCTCGGCTGAGCTCATTTTTTTTAAAGTGATCGTCAAATTCCGAAACCCTTCTCCTACTCCCACCCCGTATGGCACCCCTAATCATACCCCTGCCTGTACCCCTCTCCCTCCCCATCCCTCCACCCGACTCCTCCTCCTACACCTCATGGCGACTACAAGCACTGCTGCTGCTGCTGCTAGAGCTACAGGCGTCCCGACCCCACACACTGCAAACCCTGGCTTTCCCAGGTCTCGCACCGGAGTGTGGACTGCTCCCCAGCCGAGGAGCAGGAAGGACTCGCTGTCACCAAGCGCAGCCCAAAGTCGGTAGAAGGCGTTTTCGCTCAGCGCCTGCAGAGCAATGAGACGACATCAACTCGACGACTACTGGAACTTGCCAGAAGAACAAAGGCAGACAGGTTCTGATCACAATATCAATATCGCAATGGCAAGCCCAACAACGAGATAAGCGCAACCCATAGAAGTTGCAATTGCCACACGAACAGCACGGTTACTGCTTCGGTGCTGCTGTGAACAGCAAAGGCGGATGTGCTTTGTGGCAGTGCTGCTGGCGGGGTGGCGGCAGCGGGTTGGATGTGCTAGATGATGGCCTGGTGGCGGCGACAGCGGGTTTGGCGGTGGCGGCAGTGCCGGGGGCAATGCCGGCCGCGGCGGTGGCAGTGCTCGTGGTACTCCGGGCTCCTAATGACCTGATGCTCGTGGCACTCGTAGTGCTAGTTGTGGTCGTGGTAGTGGCAGTGTTGGTGTTCATCGTCCGCGCGCACAGGCAAAAAACTTCTCTCACAATACGACGCACATGGCCAGTGTTACTAAGACCATCCGAAGCTTCCGAAGTACCTTTCAGATTTGAAGTCAAGGGTGAACTCTGTTAGAGGTCGGGAAACAACCCCTGCGTTTAAACCGTTCAGCCCTGTGGCCCGACCCCCAAGTCCTCTACACGTTGAACATCCTGCAACCCAAAGTCCATAGACCCTGACCCTTGCCCTCAAAAGACTCATATTTCAAGGCCTTTGGGCCCAAAGACCGTATTATAAAAGGCTTCTGGGCTATTTTGGTGCTAAGGGGAATGAAGGGCCCTGAACCACGTGGGGGTTTCAGAAAATACGGGACCCTAATATAGTACCCTAAATTGTAGGATCCTTATTATAAGGACCCCCACATAAGGTACCCTAATTTCGGAAAACTCCCACGTCACATGATCTGAGAGTCTCTAGGCTGAGCCTGGCCTGCCAATCCTTCGAAAGCTCTCCAGGAAGTTCTTCCTGGAAAGTGTGTGTGTGTGTGTGCCCACTACGGGACTTACAGGCTAAGGTTTAGGGTTTAGGGTTTAGGATTTAGGGTTAAGGGCTTTGGGATTGGACTTACGGTTTAGGGTTTAGGCGACAGCTACGATCGCTATGATCATTATCCTTATTTCTATTGCTACTACTATGGTTGTCTACATCGCTATCATGGCTACAAGCGTTAATTCTGCTTAAACTATTCTTTACTTTCATCCTGCACGATGTTGCTGACCTTACTGTTGCAGTTTCTGTTCGTTTTACCAGAACTACTATAATGCCCGACATGTATGTGTGAGTATGTACCTTTGCTTGTCAGTGCTGTTGCTATTGCCGTTGTAACGGGTTATTTATCAATCACGACGGTCATCACTGATCTGTTCCGCTGGTGGTGACGATGGTGATCACCACGACGATGGCACTTACCGCTATTCTTGCGAGCCGTTGTTGCGAACACTCCTACTACTGCTGATGGCCATTATTGATTTATGACGACACTTGCTTTCTTGGTATTCGCCTACTATGTGTTTGACATTGCTGCTGTTCTTGTCGTTGTCAATGCTGTTGCGCACGCGCGATGGTAAAACAATCCTTATTGCGGCAATCAGCTGTGGTGGCATCGGCCCATCTTTTCTGACACCCTCAACATAGGCCCTCAACCGCAACACACTCCTTTTGCAAAAAAACGAAGGCGTACATTGGCAGGGAACGGCTGAGGAAGTGGGTCGCCATAATACTGGATGCTTTCCACGCAGAACTCATGCGTTTCGGGCTTTAGTGTTCAAGGCTTTGGGGTGTAGGGGATAGGGTTTACGGTTTAGGGTTTTTTGTCCGTGGCACCCTCCTTCCAGTTCAAGTTGCACCTTCAACAGATGATACCGGATACCTCAAACCCTGAAGCCTGAAGAAATGAAAATGAACCTATATGGGGGGTTCCGAAAATAGGGGACCCTAATATAGTACCCCAAATAATAGGATCCTTATTATAAGGACCCCAGAACAAGGTACCCCTAATTTGCGGAAACTCCCATATAGACGCCCCAAGGCCCAAACCCGGAGCGAGAAGCCCTGAACCCAAAGCTAAACCCGAGACACAAAGCCCTGAACCCTAAACCCTCGACTTAAACCCTTACAACACCCTTATAAGACCCCCGATCCCTAAACTCTAAACCCTAAACCCTAAACCCTTGTAGAACAGTAACAGTATAAACCTACACAGCCCTCCCGCTTCGCGTCCTGCGACTGCTTCTCGCAGTCCGCCACAAGACAGACCTGCGAGCCTTGGGGTTTGCTTTTAATGTAAGGGTTTAGGGTTTAGGGTTTAGGGTTTAGGGGGGCCTTAATAATTAGAATAGGGTTTTTGGGGTCCAGTCTACTATCATTATAATAAGGAACCCCCAAGACAATATTGGTGTTTATTTAGGCCCTTATCTTAGGCTAAGGTTTCCTGAGCCCACAAACCTGAGCACAGGGCAGAAAAGAAGGGCACACCGCGCTGCTCATGAAAATGCCTGAATAGGTGTTGCGGAAAAGGCTGTCAGATCCTAAACCCAAGCTCTTGCCGAGCCGAAAACCATAATTCTGGGCCCTAAAACCCCTGAATGAAGGCAGAATGCCAAACCCTAAAGCTTCCCAAGTTGCCACCTAGATAATCTGATTTGCATATTCCTTGCTCAGAAGAAGAACTCCACGCCGTCTTGCGCGCTTTAAGCTACAGAGCATGGAAACAGAGTTCCGGGCTTCAGGCGGTTTCTGTTGCGGGGCTTAGGGCAACGCGGGCCAGGACGTTGAGGAGCCGCGGGAAGTATGGGCAAAATCAGGCACACCTCAAGAATGTGGGATATTGGGAGTAGCATTCAAGGTGTAGAGCCGAAGACGACATCGTGCACTTACGTCATGCACCATCTGGCTTCGACAGAAGGTGAAACCTGACAATCTGCACCCGACAATTGCCCCGAAGTAGCTTCGCAGCTTGAAATAATAGGCAGGAGTTTTGCGGGAGGAGCCCTTTTCTAACATTCCCGAAGACGGAACTCCGAAACACTTTCCAGACGGAGCGATCAAGAGCCCGGCCGATCAAGAGCCCAGCCGAAAAAGGCATCACATTTCAGAATCACTTGCCGTTTAGAACCCTCGCTTATAGAACCAACTGTAATAACCGTCGTAAACCCCTCAATCTTTAACCCTTATCCTTACTCTTGCACTGGGCTTGCAAGGAGTTCATGCTCCGTGGAAGGCACACGACCGGATGTTGAGTCTGAAATGCAAGGCCCACCTCCCAAATCCTAGACTGCCCGAAGCTAGAACCCCCGAACGTTTCAGTAAGCTCTCGAAGCCTGAACCCTTAACAAGCCCGAATGGGCGCCAAGCCACAACGCACCCGAAAGCCTGCCCAACCCTAAACCCTAGACCCTAAACCCTAAACCCTAAAGCCTGCCCGAACCCAAAGCCCCAAAGTCCCAAAGCCCTAAACCCTTCGTCTGCCCGTAAGCTACCGTAATTGTGAAGGCCCCGGCGGCAACGCCCCATGTGGGGGGTTTCGGAACATAGGGGACCCTAATATATAAACAGTACCCCTAAATAATAGGATCCCCTTTTGCAAGGACCCCAAAATCAGGAACCCCCTTATTTTCGAAAACCACCGGTTTGGCTTCGGTGCATCCGGACGCCCTCCAGGCAGCTGGAGGCTTCCCGAAGTGTCCTTTGATGGGGCGAAGCCAAGGAAGCGGGGGGGAAAGGACGCAGAGACTGACTGCAGCAGTGGCCTAGGTGCTTTGGGGTTCCTGTAAGGTGTTCCGAAAATACGTGGCTTCGGTTCAGGAATGCGTGTTTTCTGGGTTTGGGGTTGCGCGTTTTGAATTTGGGGATTTCGGCAGTCTGATGGCAGAAGAGTTGTGCGAATTCGCCATGACCAGCACCTGCGCTCTTAAGATACACGGGTCCATCAGCGCAAGAACTTCCGTCGTGTTCGCCAACAGCCCTAAACCCTAAATCCTAAAGGCCCTAAGCCCGAGTATGCCCTGGTCGAGGTGGTCCTAGTCGTTCTAGGTTCCGTCGTCCTTCGTCCGTCGCAGAAGTAGTAGAATCAGCAGTAGTTGATGTAGTAGCAGTAGCAGTAGTGGTAGTAGTCGTCGTCGTCGTCGTCGTCGTCGTAGTAGCAGTCGTAATCGTAGTCGTAGTCTTAGTCGTCGTCGTAGTAGCAGTAGCAGTAGCAGTAGCAGTAGCAGTAGCAGTAGCAGTAGCAGTAGCAGTAGTAGTAGTAGTAGTAGTAGTAGTAGTAGTAGTCGTAGTAGTAGTAGTAGTAGCAGCATAATGCAACTCATGATGCTACTAGTTGCAGCGACAACCAGTTTTACCGTGAAAGGTTCAAGGCAAGCTGCGCTTTGCTCATTTTCGAGAAGGATCCTCAGCAAGACAACGAGAGCGGGTATTCGGCCATCAGTATGACTGTGGTTACTGTGCACTGAATCCTGACGTCGACCAGGCTAAAGTCAGATGTTGAGAGCATACTTGCCAAAGATGAGAAGTGGGGAACTTGCAACCTGGATGCCTGCGAGGTTGTAGAACTGGACGGTGTCCTCGCCTTGTCTGAGACTAACGCTCTGGGTTTCGGCACTGGGCTTAGAGGGTTTGGGGCTTTGGGCCGATGGCGGCTTCTAGGTGTGTAGTGATTGGTACGCAAAGCCAAATCTAAGACGCCAGTGTCAGGGTCAAGAAACAAAACGAAGTCTGCGCCCTCATCTAAACGTTGAACTCCATGACATGAACAAATAGTCAGCCTAGCAAGGGCCGCAGCAGCAGCGACAACGACGACGACAGTAGGAGCAACATCGAGCACGACAAAGACGAAGCAGCTCTGATCACCACGCCAACTCCCACAATCCCGACCACAACCACGACCAAAACCATTGCTGCCGCCAAAACAACTGCACGATGGTGGACGTATTGCAAAGCATTGTTGACGAACGAGGCTTGCAGATTCAATTGAGAGTTACACCGTTTGCGACTCAACCATCTCTGAGCAAACGCAACAGTCACCGAAATGCAAGTAGTGACTATGACAATCGTGGCGATCGTCGTAGGCCTAGCAGCGACAGCAGCACTTACGGCAAGATGGGTGGTGGGTAGTCACTACACTCGCATCTCCATCAGCATCATCGCGGCCATGGTGGTGATGGTCGTGGGAGTTGTGCCGCGCTGATTTAGTTCGTGGTGGTCGAGATTCACGGCTGTCGAATGGCAGAACCCGGACTACACAGGAAGCGCAACATCCTCAGCAAGTGCAAGGTCAACAATCGAAAATGGCAAGAACCCAGGCAAGGAGCTTTGCTCTGCATCCGGTCCGTCGGAGGTAGGCTCAGCCTCCACTGAAGGACTCTGCTGGTGGAGGGGCCGGGAGTTTACTTCTCCGCCTTGTGACATTCTGGAGCTTCTTGGATGCGGAGTTGCCGAGACGATGAGGGCCATGAGGGCAAGGGACGAGAAGAGGCAGGCAGAGAACCCAGAGAGAAGTGAAAACGAAGAGACGCCCACGGCCTTGGAGTCACAAGTTGCGCGAGAAGGACCCGACAAATCGAAGCGACAGACGCCCAGAGAAGACGACAAAAAAAAAGCTGTCCAGCATGGCTCAAGGCCTTAGTTTTAGACTCCTGGCAAAATTTGGGGTTTAGGGTTTAGGGTGCAGTGTCTTCAGGATTCTGTATATTTTCTTGGGACTCCGATCTGGTTATCATCGCAAGAATGCCTGCAGGACAACAGAGTTTGCAAGGCTCTTCCAAGGATCCCAATCCTGAACCCCTAAACCCCTAAAACCCTAAACCCCTAAAACCCCTAAAACCCCAAAACCCCCAAACCCCTAAACCCCCTAAACCCCCTAAACCCTAAACCCCGAAACCCCAAAACCCCTAAACCTTAAACCCTTATAGATCCCTTTGAAGGAACCCTTATAGATCCCTTTAAAGGAACCCTTATAGACCCCTTTAAAGGAACCCTCATAGATCCCTTTAAAGGAACCCTTATAGATCCCTTTAAAGGAACCCTTATAGATCCCTTTAAAGGAACCCCGAAACCCCCCTTAAAACCCCCAAAAAGCGCGCCTGAAGCCTCGGCGGAGCGACCGCTTCCTTCCTCAGATTTGCGGCGGGCGGTCGTCGGGTATAGGGTTGTTTGGGGGTTTAGGGTTTTTAAGGGTTCCTTTAAAGGGAGCTATAAGGGTTTAGGGGTTTAGGGGCTTAGGGGTTTTAGGGTTTGGGGGCTTAGGGTTTAGGGTTTAGTGGGGGGGGATGGGGGTTAGTAAGTGGGGTTATAAGTACCCTAATTGGTGTTATAAGTGCCTTAATTGGGGTTATAATTCTAGTTTAGGGGTTTAGGGGTTTGGGGGTTTAGGGGTTTTAGGGGTTTTAGGGGCTTTAGGGGTTTGGGGGTTTAGGGGTTTTAGGGGTTTAGGGGCTACATCAGGGCCCAGTGTGTTTTGGGGTCCCCCAAACGGGAGCTATAAGGGTCTCTATGGGGGTTCTATAAGTAGAGTGTTATAAGGGTTGAATTCGGGTAGTTCTTGTCATAAATAGGAACCCAGAAGAAAGCGGCACCTTTATAGGAAGGAGCCTAAAAGCTCATTTACGGAACTACCCGTTCCCTCAAGAACCCGGGCCCCATTTTCCAGGTATTGAGAGGAGATACCAGTCACGGATACAGACGGCATACGCGTGCTACTTCCTGTACCCCAAACACTACACCACCTGAACACTGAACCCTAATCCCAAATCCAAAACGCCTTGAATTGAACGAAAACGATACCTTTAGGAACCGAGATGCTAGTCTCCGATATTCTGTACACATACATACTTTTATGAGTGTATATATATATATACATATGTGATTTGCATACATATATATATACTTACTAAGATATACATCTGCGCCTTCTTCTTTATCATTAAAAAATCATTCCAGAAATCCCTCGCCGCGCCGCTTCCACGCTTCGAGCAGCCGGCGGTCCAGTTGTTTGGCCCTCTCATCCTGGCCAGTAGCACCTGGGTTTAGGGTTTAGGGTTCATGGGTAATAATGGTCACAGGATTTAGAACTCAGGGATAGTGAACAGGGGTAGTAAGAATAACAATAGTAAGTCTTGTGCCAATAACAATCAATAGTAACCCCTGGGTTCATGGGTCAAACTGCCTAATAATAGTCATAGGCTTTGCGTTTTTTTAAGCCCAATTTTCTTTCGCCCATGTCCGGGGTCGGAACGCCATGTTTGGCTGAGGGGCCGTTATGGGAGGCCGGATAGCTGGGATCCACATACACCCTAGTCATAGGGTTTAGGGCTCAGGGTTAGTAGTTAAGGGTAATTATCCCAATCATCATAATACCAACACCAATAACCAACAAATGATGATACAAATACTCATCCTGCTGCTAATAACCATACTAGCAATACCAATGCTAATGAGAAGAAGAAGAATAAGTAACACCTGGGTTCACGACGATGCCCCCCCGGCAAGAACAAGACCAATCACAATGATGAGGGGCTTGAGGGCTTAGGATGCCAGGCTTAGCACATCCCCTCAATTTATGGGGGTTTCCGAAAATAGGGGACCCTACTATAGTACCCCAAACAACAAGGTCCTTATTATAGGACCCGAAAATAGGCGGTACCTAATTTTCGGAAACTTCCAAATACATTACTACATAAGAACTACTGACACTCACAACCATAATAGGAAGACTGGTATTACCACAATCCTCGGCTGACTTCTATCCCCTTATACATGAGAATAAGAAGAATCGAAAACAACGAACAAAACCTAAGTATTTCTGTCGACAGAAGGCGAAGACGCTGTATTTCTGGGAATCGGTACAAGGTTAGAGCAAACTACAGGTGGGGAGTTTAGGATTTATAGGGCTTCT